CTATGGTATTTTAAGGTATCAGGCAAAAATGCCCTCTATTTTCACATGGTTTTTTATGGTGTCGGTAGGATAACACAAAATATATATTGGCTAAAAAAGGGTTAATAACCATATGTGGGTTATTTTTAAAGCTGTGTTGTCTGAATTCATGAAACAAATATAAATAATCGGTTACCATAACTACACTTTGGTAAATTGGCAGTGAAAACAACAATTTTGAGGCAAGATTGATAACAGGTAAAAAAACATTTTCTTGGAATCAACTATTATCACTGAAGCTACCTCAAATATGCATTAACATTTATAGAGTAGATGTCAACCTGATAAAAAGTTTGACACAAACATACAGCTAACAAATGAAAACTTGTACTTTGGTATTCATAAAATGTAAATTACAAATTAGTTAAAATTGTTTTTTTGACTTTCTCACTAAAGTATTTCTGGCTATAAAGAAATTGAAATAGTGCGGAAAGATTGCTTTTCTTTGTTTCATATCTCTCTTTAAAGATATCTAAATAACTATTGCATAATCAATCCTATTTCATACAAAATCCCTGAAGACATGAATTGTACCAAAATCAATCCAACTTTATGCAAATACAAATAAATATTAATTATGCCTAACCTTGCAAAGTGAATTTCAACTTTTATGTAAACTCCCAGGAAAACCAATTATACCTAACTTAATAAGCCTAACTTTGCAAACTAAACCTTCACTTGCATGCGAAATGCCCAGCAAAACCAATTATGCCTAACTTTGCAAACTAAATCCTCACTTGCATGCGAAATGCCCAGCAAAACCAATTATGCCTAAGTTTGCAAACTAAATCCTCACTTGCATGCCAAAACCCCAGGAAAACCAAATTGCCTAACTTTGCAAACTAAATCCTCACTTGCATGCGAAATGCCCAGCAAAACCAATTATGCCTAACTTTGCAAACTAAATCCTCACTTGCATGCGAAATGCCCAGCATAACCAATTATGCTTAAGTTTGCAAACTAAATCCTCACTTGCATGACAAAAACCCAGGAAAACCAAATTGCCTAACTTTGCAAACTAAATCCTCACTTGCGTGCGAAATGCCCAGCAAAACCAATTATGCCTAACTTTGCAAACTAAATCCTCACTTGCATGCGAAATACCCAGGAAAACCAATTATGCCTAACTTTGCAAACTAAATCCTCACTTGCATGCGAAATACCCAGGAAAACCAATTATGCCTCAGTTTGCAAACTAAATCCTCATTCACATACTCCAGGATATCACGTAAATTGCAAATATATTTATAAATACATGTATTTACAACCTAAATTATATTTGCATATCTTTTAAATACGTTTATGAATGCTAGTAGTAAAAAAAAACTTTACTAAATATCAAGTCTTGCTGGGTCCCCCAATGAGCAGCACAGTTCTGTCTCAGGAGGTACATGTTCAATCTATTCAGGCAATCTCTTGGCCATGAATAATGAAACGAGAATTGTGACTAATCACCATGGAAATTAGGTATGTATTTATGGATTGTGACACATCCATGTTCACAGAGCGGTAAAGGCATAACTGCTATTCTAATCCACGAGTTAATCTCGGGATTATAGCAATCCACATAGGGAATATTAATTCCTGCATCTAATCGACTACCTCCAGTTACTACAATATTTTGACCAATATTTGACATACCATAGGAGTGTAGGTATTTCCCCCCCGGCATCACACTGCCCAGCACGTGAGTAGATGAAGGCACATGGTAAGCGCTGATACAATTATCAAAACCACGGTAAATCAAATAATAAATATGATCATTAATAGTATAAGCATTTTCAACTCCATCACCATGGATACAATGATTTACAATTGTTTGACTCCAAGTGTTAGTACTTGGATCAAAGCAATATAACATATCAGGATCGCGGTAAAAATACCCCTTGATGTAAAGCTTTCCATCATGTGCAACAGCAGTAGGTTTCTCTACAAAGTGCCCTTTGATCCGCCCAATTGTTGTCCATATATTTAACTGCGGATCGTATCTTTCAACATCGTTGAATTTCTTGGACCATCCAATCTTTCCTCCCACAACATAGATCTTTCCATTAAGTACTGCTGCTCCATGACCATGTCTTGGTTTGTTTAAACTTGTGACTTGAGTCCACGTATCAGTAATAGAGCTATACTTCCAAACATCAGATAAAGTTTCTGATAAATGAGCTGCATGGTGATCTGCCTGCCCTCCAATGACGTAGATATCATTATCAACAGCCACACATTGAAATCGTTGATTACGGCCAGGAAATGGGGCCAACTCATTCCACAGTCCATTGTCAGGATTGTAATATCGCACATTGCGTACCCACTGTTGATTGTCAGTGAAGCCACAGACAGTAACCAGAATTTCTGTCTTCATTGAGAATCGTAACTTCATTCGCCTGTCCCGAACTTTCTCCCCTTTGTGGAGTGCATGCCTTAAATTCTTTATCTTATTGACAATCTGAATAGCACATGGGCATCCAAGGATAAGCGGGTCATTCTCAATCTGTTCCATAAATGATGCATCCACTAAAGTTAACCGTATTCTTTTGAGCAATTCACTCAAGAAGTACTGTCTATTTTCACTGTCGTATTCTATCCACATCATCACTGCTGTATAAACATCTTCTTCCTTCGGGACATTTAAATCATCATCATCAATGAGCTGGCAAATAATCTGAAACGTTGTTTCTTTGAATTCTTCAAACTTTTGCAAATCTACAAAATGATGAAGAGAATAAGCCATGGCTGTTTCACACAGTTGTTGACATCCAACAGTTATTGCAAACTGTAAAATTCCCAAACAATTTGAAGGGTGAAGTTCATCTTTCACGAATTCTGTGCAGGCAGCCATTGCTGATTGGTGCTGCAAATAACAAGCGGTTCTTAAAATCTCTTGAACATTCTCACAATTAATCGTTAGTTTTCCAGTATATGTGAAGTTAACCAAGATTTTCATGATGCTTGGATGCAGGCCTTCAAGTGAAACTGTTCCCTCATAAGTTTCTCGCATCTTACTAGAAAACATTGCTTTGAAGTATGCACTTGTAGCAGCCAACACAAACTTATGACAAGGGAACTCCTGATCACCAACTGCAATAACAATATCTGTTAGCATTTCATCGCTCCTTTGCTGATTAAGAATTTTCAGTATTTCAGAAGCAAAATGAAACTCATCAAATTTATATTCTGATTCTTCGATGTTCTTACATGTATTAAGTGTTTGCCTGGCCAGAAAATCACTAACTGCACTTTCAACAGCTTTACCACGGAAAATATTGTGTTGATAACAAGCTTGCAGCAAATTGGATGCGTTGTCTTTGGTGATCAATAAAGATCCCGTGTAGATGTAATTTATGATGTGATGCACGATGTCTGATCCCAGTACCTTTTCAACAACACCAAGTGTTTCTTGATTCACTTCTCCACTTATATTATCATCATAATACGGACTGCCAGCAACCAACAAGGCCTTGTGGCACTTAACAATCCTATTACCTACTTGGATGTTCAAATCAATCAAGTCACTCTCATCTTTCATATCTTTCATAGCTGCCAGTAATTCAATAGCATGATGATTCTTCTTTACATTGACATTCTTTGATTGGGATTCAATAAAACTGTTGTCATAGAAACTACTTCCATTAGGGGATGAACTGTACCACAAGTTGTCATCTGCAGCGGCCATCTTAGATCCTGATGAAAAGTGAAAAACAAGATGTAATCATGAAGACACAGTCCTGCAAGTGATTAATGCGTTTTCTACATAATTGTGTATGACATTAACATTTGTATCGTATGTATATATATACAATCATTAAGAGTTAGTTGAATTATGTTAAACTGACACATTCTAAACATCGTTATCAGATTTCAATGTTCAACAATTACATTGTTGCAATTGTTATCAAAACTGTCTGGGTATTCAGTGTGAGAAACAACAAATGAAGATACCATTTTGTAAATAGACCACCTAACTGACAACAAGTTGGTTTTCATTTAATATATATATGAATTCTGAACAGGAAGTCCCCACTTCAATCAAATCCAATTTAATTTCCAACAAAACTAAACATTGTCTCCGGGCTCGTGAATACGAATGTTTACCAGACAAGTAGTTCATCCAGTCTCATTCTCTACTGAAATTTCAGCTAGTAATCATGCTATATCTCTACACTAGATGAGTGATCTGCTGAATACAACATACCAAATCCAGGTACTGAGGAAAGAACAGACAGTTATACTTGAGTGATTTTATTGGATATGATGGACTGATTGAAGATGAGAGAAACTATATTTTTGTTTAATATCGAATCGTATACCAAATGCAACAGTATTGGCAGCTTAGAGCATCAACAAGTCTATCAAATTGATGGACACCCACTTCTCAAGTTTTCCTGTCCCTCTTTTTCTGAATTTATATATGTTATATGAGATTTCATAGCATTCGTTGTCACTGCATCCAAGTGAACATAGAATATTTCATACTACTAGTACCTAGGCTAGTTGTTTTTGAGTGCGTTCAAAGGCAGAATTCAAAACATTGATTTTAGGTATTCCAGATAAAATTCAGTCAGGTACATAACCTGCAAATGCCTTAAGGTAGCGAGAAGGGAAATTTTCACTTTTTTCTTGATTTTTCAAAAATTGATAAAACTGTTACTTTAGACCTTGATACATCACCCCAGGTTTACAAAAGATCGAAATTGCGAAATAACGTTGCTCAAATTAGTGTTTTAAAACACTAGCAGAAAAGACTACAACTGCCGTTTCGTGGATATTTGCATAGTGTTTATCTTTGGAAGGAATTAAATGATAACATCTTATCTGTATACTCTGTTGTTAACGATTCTGATATAACGGGTGATAAGCTTCCAGTTGCAAACAATGCGTGTTTATCAACGGGGATCGACATTCCAAACAAACAATCGAAATTATCAACGAAAGACGAGATTTTTCTAGATATTTACAAACATACTGTCATGACAAACATATGTAGGTTTTATTTTAGGCTCAGAAATATTGTCTTTCACTCAGCCCATGCATGTAACTGCCATTTAGCTTTACGGTCCTTCAGCATCGGGGGAAAACAACAATAATTATACAAAACACATTGCGAAGACTCAACAATCAGGAAAGAAACCCCAGACAACCCTGTCGTACTTGTGTTGAAATACATTTTGTATTTCACGTCAGAATATTGTTTAAAATAAAATATTCAGTCCAAGCCAAATCGAGGTCAAAGGGACAGGTTGCGTGCATATAATTATATATAGTTAAAACAAAAAGTATTTGAACTTTTGTCAGCTGTTCAACATCTATAAAAACCAGAAAGACAATTATAAGACAATGTGAACCTCGGAAATTATTCTGTTAGTCCGAATTTTAAATGCGCGGGAGCGAGCAGGTGGGCGGTGATATTTCGGGGTTTGCGCGGTCGAAAATAAAGCGGAAATTGTCCGGTCGAATTCAACAAGCGGTCGCAAAAGCGAGAGAAAAAGGTGATTGGAAAGCGGAAGCGGGCGGGAGTGA